AAAAAACATGATCTGATGCAGACAGAATGGCTATTGACTGGAATATGATCATGCTGAGCTACTTGGATCAGTTCAACATTAGCGGCAACTACGTAACTGGTGGTCAGGACTTAAAGTGAAAATGTGTGGGCTTTCCTCAAATGATACAAACAGCTACACATCGCCTAGTGCAGTGTACTTAGAGTATGTTTTGAGGGCCTTCTGCACTGAATCACACTGCTGGGTGGGGGGGAAGGGGCTGGAAAACATGCAGATTTCAGAGCCTCCCACCCTCGTGTTATGTATCCATTTTATAGAGTAGGTGGTGTAAAACTGAGAGGAAGAAGGTATGCATCTACTTCTTTCACAGTATGTCCAGATGGGGTGAAACCTGGAGGAATTTGAGATTTGGGATAAATCACACTGTATGTATACCCCCCTCTTCCTCTGTCTTGCCTCCCCTCCCCTCTCTCTCTCAACATTTGTTAAAATGAAATTGGTTAAAATAGATGTTGGTAGTAGGAAATACCACAAAGGAGTTAAAACGAAGAGCAAAGAAAATAGAATGGGGGGTTCTGTGGGTTTGGAGCAATATTGTGGGCTCACAATATGAATATGGCTTTTAAAGACTTCTTTAACAAAAGGTAGTGGAACCATTTCCATCTCAGAAGGTGTGAGCCTGGGTCCAGTTTCCTCCACTGAGGACTCCATAGCCAGTAATCTGTGAGAAATAAAAGAGTGAACTCTGCTTTCTGAGAAACACAGTTTCTCTATCTCAAGGAAATATTGGACAGAGTATTTCAATATAGGAAGAGAAAAGGAGTTGAGTGACTTGGCAATTGACATTTCCTGCTGTTAGCATTGAGGGTAAAAGAGAGGGTCCTGGACAGCCAGCCACAGTGGGCACCACAGTGTAAAGATATAGCTGCTAGACAGTCTAGTGGGGCTCAAGTAGCCCAGAAAAAGTGCTAATATCATATCCCGGTGAGATAGGATCTCAGGAGGGTGTATTTTCTGGTCCTTGTTTTGGTTATGGAGTGGCTTGACTGTTAACCATCAGGATGGAAACTTACAAATTGTTATTATTCAGTGATCACCTGTTGACCCAAGCCTTGTCTAGGATCTAAGATTTCTGTCCACTAATCCTTTCCTGACAACAACTTATAGGTAAAATCCCATTTTAATGAATGTAATTTTGAGATAAAGCTATTTAGTAAAATCATCATGCAGAACAGATGCATCCACAAATCCCTGTTCACGAAGCACTCAATTTATTAAATTAAGATGCCGTTGTTTGAATTCAGTATTTATGCTTTCTACTTTAATTGTATTCAATAGCAGGGTCTTGCCGTGCAAAAAATAGAGGAGACTGTGTTCATTCCCTCTCGAGGCTTCTATTTCCTCATCTATAAAGTAATGGGGGAGGGAGAGGAGCCAGATGGTTTCAAAAGGACTTTTCAATTATAAAGAATCTGACTCTTTGTCTGAAATGTCCTCAGTGTGGGCCAATGAAAGGAAAATTAAGACGAGGGATTCAGGTCTTAGGCCTATTTAATGACACTAAACATCAAAGACAGTCATGGTAGTATCTATCTGCCCAGCAAATATCACTTCAAATTGTCCCTCCATACTAACAATTCAAATATACCCATGTCTTTTATCTCAAAAAAACCCCACCACAACAACAAACAACAAAAGATATCCAAGTGCACAACCTCTCTTTCTGAAATTTTCAAACATTCATCTAAGCAACATTCATTAGGTGCATAATATGTACCAGGGTACATAGATAGATAAGACACAGTCCCAGGAGCTCACAGTTTCATAATGGAGGCTCACATAAATAAGAAAGGGCAATGCTTCTTGTAAGTGCCACAATAGAAGTCAGTTCAGGGTACACTGGGGCTCTAAAACAGTGTCAGAAAGCCCTGGAAAAAAGTTTTGTCAGATGGAGATTTGTGTGCAAGATGCTTATTGGAGGAATGCTTTGAAGTACAACACCTGTGAGGGAAAGAAAGCAGTAGAATTGGACAGAAAAAATTGAACAGTCATACAGTTACAACAAAGACCTTAGCCAGTCCCAACAGGTGCTCCAAAGATGGGATGGTCTTTCAGAGTTGTCCAGAATTGAGGTAAGGAGTCTTGGCTTTTATATCTCTGTGTTGACTAGTCGTTGGGTATAGGCTGATGCAGAGAATGGGGTGTAGTGTGATAATTATTGTTTAATAGTCAGCTCCTTCAGGGGGGAAGTAGCCCTGATTTGTAGCCTTTATTCATTACCATTGTGTCATCACTGCCACCATGCCGAATTTTATTTTACAAATATCACATTAGCTAGCTCACAAAATCCATGAAAATGTAACCATAAGCTCTTATGAACCAACACAAGCTGACTCCAGCACACTACTGAGGTGACATGACCTTGGGAATTGGAGCTCTCTTCAGCTGAGGGCAATTTCCAGGGAGGCATCAGCTATCATCCCCTAACACTCCCAGCAATTTCAGTCTGAGGGGTGCATCTGGGTAGCACACCACAGCACCCACTACACGCAGTGCATGTGAAAATTATTTGCTATATTTCAACCAACACAAAGCACTTAATTCTGTTTAACATTTTCCATCCAGTGAAGTAATTTTAAAATTTCTTTAAGTAAATTAAATGAAATTCTATCTCTATTGGATAACCTTGGTCAAGTAATCTAATCTCTGCTTTTGTAGAAGAAAGATGCCAATACTGACTTATTTGCCAAGAACACTGTTGGACAAATTGGACAACTTAAGCACCTGCCTTAATTCAATTTTCCCCCTCAATGGACCAGTTACTGGACTAATTTGACCAACATGATTCATGTTTAATTGTGTAGACAAATGTAGGCAATTGGAGGCCTTCAGTTCTAGTTTCTCTTCCTAAATCCAACCCTTGCCTTGTCAAACCTCTCTGGCACCCCATTTTGCCATTATACAATATGTGATTATGAACAAGGGAAGCTGAAATCCTTGTGTAGCTGATGAACTAGCTCCAAAGATATCCCTAGAGTACTCAAAGGAAGGTTTGGGCATCAGAATACATGCAGAACCTCTTATGGTAATTATATTGAAAGAGCTAATGGTCATTTGAAAACTCAAGTTATGGTGTGTGTGTGTGTGTGTGTGTGTGTGTGTGTGGTGTTTAAGTCAACTTCATAATATACTAGTTATACCTTAGAAAACGAAGGAACAAAGGGGTTTGGGGGCTGGGGGTGAGTCTAGTAATGCCAGTTAGGATGCTGGGTAGGTACAGCTGTACTGAGGTCCATCATCAAGAAAGGAACATGGACCCCAACAGGGCCTTCAGCGCCTGCCACTTCCCAGAGAGGCATCTGAGTGTCTGGGAGCATGTAAGGCTGTCCAGATCAGGTATGAGGAGGGGAAGAAAGGTCAGGGACAGGCGAGGCAGCAGAAGAGGAAGAGGAGATATCAGGCAGAGACCTGGAGGCAGTGGATTGATATGGTGGGGGGGTTTGAACTAGCAGAGGTTGGGGAGAGGAGAAAAAAAAAGAAAACGAAGGAGCTTAGTTAAAAAAGGGAGGGCCTGGGCCGGCCGAGTGGCTCATTGGTTAAGAGCTCGCTCAAGAGTGTGAGCAACAGCGGTTTGATTCCTGGTCTGAGCTGAGCTGCCGCTGAGCTGCCACCAGGTGGCAGGATGGCTCAGCTAAAAAAAAAAAAGGAGAAATTTTCTGGGGGGTATTTAACAAGTGCAAAGAAAGTTTTTTTGTTTTTTTTTAAGACTTTTTTAATTGGGGAATTGGGGGAGGGGAACATTGCTGGGGAATTGGGGATGGGGAACAGACAAGTTGGTGTCCTTTTGTTCTTCAGTCTAGTTGTGGAGGGCGTCGCTTTACTGGCCCATGTTGGTATTATCACTGTGTTCTTCCCGAGTGAGGCAGTCACTTGCTGGCCATTGGATGGCTGCTCATGGCGGCTCACGGCAGCTCACGCTGGCTGCTGGCCACACACAGTAGCTTATGGCAGCCCACTGCAGCAGGGGCTGCAGCCTATGCCATCGCCGGCGACTCATGGTATCTCAGCTCCAGGTCGAGCTGTTATTCACCATCTTAGCTGTAGAGGGCAGTTTCACTGGCCCTCATGTGGGATCCGAACCGGGGCCCTGCTGCTCAGAGCTGGCATCCCAAGCCAACTCTTAACCAACGTGCCACTCGGTTGGCCTCTAGCTGCCATTCTTTAACCATGGCCTCCTCTAATCTATTCTAACTTACCCCTGCTAAACAACATAGTTTCATAAGTCTAAGAAGAACTAAACTGAGTGCAAAGTAATTCCAATTATAGGGAGTTTAGATTTTTAAAGTTGAACATATCACCCCTAATATTAGTAACATTTATAGGTGAATGTGAGTTAGTGCTATTCATTGTTTATAATGATCTTGGTAAGCGTGGGAACAGTTGGTCAAAATCTATTGGAATGTATTTAGGAGTTTGGCAATAAAAAGAAACAGTGGCTAGGGGTATCTCTCCCATCCTCTCCTTCTAGCGTTCTCATTCTTAGGTGTAATAATGTGAGTAGCTACTATTTATTGAGTGCTATGTGCTAATCCATTATATGAATTGCTCCTTCAGTCATCACTACCATCCTATGAAGCAAATATTTATTATCTCCATTTTATGAATGAGGCAGAGAGAGGTTAAGCAATTTACCTAAGGGTATACAGCTAATAACTGCTGACGTTAAGACATAAACCTATGTCTTCCAACCCCAGAGCCTCTTCCTTATGCTACCTCCTATTTGCTGTAATTTTTATGCAACCTGTAGACATATCTGTCTTGTCCCAAGCCTAATCCAAAGTCCCTGAACATACCTCAGCCTCAGCTCAGGTCTTCAACATCCAGCTCATCTTGGAGCCATAAGACAGAAATCATTGACAAACTGTTTATAACACATTTATTTATTTCTCCAAATCTATAGTTTTGGGTACTGTATTTACTAACATAGTGCTGCCATAACCTTCTTGCTTTGTTGGCTTCGGTCATCATCATGTGTATGCATTCGGCTTTGATTGGGGGAAAGACTCAGACACATCTCTTGAATGGGCTCACAATCTGAAAATGACTGATGGAACCTATGTCTTTGTTCCCTATGATGCCCTGCTCTACAGTTTACCTTATAAGCATACCCCCTACCAAGTCCTGAGGAACGACCCCAAACTCCGGGAAGCCTATGATGCTGTGTTGACCATTACAGTGGAGCCCCAAGAAAAGACCTTCTATCAAGCCTATACACAGGCAGCACCTAAAGGTGAAATTCCCGGAAAACTGGAGTCAGATCAAGTAAGTGCAGATTCACAAGTTATCATGAGTAAGAACCTAAAAAGTCAGTAAGGCAAATATTTTTCTATCAAGAGCCTCTATTCCATAGGGAACCCAATCAATAGCAGGCAATCACACACACATTAAAAACATTTTTTGTTTGCAGAAAACATTTATGAAAAAAAGACATATTGTTGGAGAATTTTTTTCATCTTCAAGCAATGACAGCATACAGCCATGAAGAAAATATATATTGAAGAACAGGGAAATACAACTTTAATATATACTAGTGCTGTTCAAGGGGGCCTAGTAAAAAGCTCTTGTTTCTTATCCAAGTTCTAAACCAATTCAACAATAAGACAAGAAAGCTGGTGTATAAGAAGATATTACCTTTATTATTGCTAAAGCTTGTGTTAGAGAGTGTGGCTTCCATCTGTAGGCATTTGAATTTTCCATTCAGTACTGAATCTGAGGATTAATCAGACTGGTCCATCTAGTCACCAGCATTGCTGGACCACCATATTCCTGCCTCATGATGGCATGCGTTTTGTAAAATGTACAACCCAGAGTAGCATAGTGGAGTACATGTTCCCTATAGGTAGCTCACTCCCAAGGGAAGGACGTTAGGAGGCGCTCGGCTCCATGAGCTTAGTTCTCTTTCCAAACTAACCAGTCTGATTAAGTAACTCCTTTGTAGGAAAGAATGAGTAAGGAGGTGAAGAAAGGTCAGGTGGTTTTTTTTTGCTGGTAGAGCTATTTCTATATGAAAGAAATCATTTCGAATGGGGAAGAAATACTACCTTCTAATATACAAGAAACAATATTTACATATGTATAGGTGAATGTATTTATAAACATATTTCAGATTCAAATCAAAGCCGCTTAAGGGCTAGAGGAAGGAAAAGGAGTGGGGAGGGGAAGAAAGAAGAGAAAAAAATGGAGTGCAAAGACAAAAACAGGGGGAAAATACAAAGAAGACAAGGAATATGAGAAGAAGCTGATGAGGCCAAAGATGCCAATTAGATTAGGAAAAAATACAGAGGGGGGTTTTATAGGTTGGAGGCCACATGTGGAAGGTAATAATTTTCAGAGGTATTTAGAATGACAGACAAATTTTAAAAGTTTGAGCATTTGCTAGCACACTGTATTAGTTATAACACTCCTGGCTGCTAGTAACAGACAGCTCAACACAAAATGGCCCAAGTAATTTTTTTTTCAAAATTTGAAGTTATAAGAGCTCCAGGGTCAGTTTTTCATCAGCTCAATGACATTACCAGTGAAACAGGTTCTTTTCATCTTTCAATTTTACAAGCCATAGCATGGTAGCTTGCCCTCATGATCTGGTTGATCTCATGGTATCAAGATGGTTGCCACGGTTGCAGATATCACATACAGCTGGAACTGTCTACAGACAAAAATGGGGCATGTCCCTCTCTTGTGCCTCTTTTTAGGAGTGACAACATTTTACCCAGAAGCTCCTCAAGCAAGCTTGTACCCACATGTTCCTGGCCACAATCATGCCCCATACCCATCCCTAAACCAATAAGTTAGAAAGAGGAATGAGACCATTGTGACTGATCCTGTGGCTGCTGGAAAATTGAACACAATTGCGATCCTGTTAGCATGGAAAAAGGCTGTCAGATAGGCAGCTAATTGTGTCTAACATATTCTCCATGATATTCTCCTTTTTAGCCACTCTTTATTTTTTTTTATCCTGTGGACTGCTTCTCTCTCTCTGAATGAGTGACTCAGATTAAACTTAGGTTTACTTATTGCTTGCTGTCCTGAGTATTGATAGAAAAGATTTTGGTGAGTCTTGTTCTAATGAAGAGTGATTAGCAGAGATATTAACAGTGCTGGATTTGAACTTTATTGCCACTGATAATGTTTAATAATAAATCTCTCTTTTTAGGAGACACACATATTTAACTGAAATCAGTTGATCAATAATTGCAAGAATCCCTCAAATTGCTCACAATGGTTGTTCAAACCAGTTGTCTGGTATATTTATAGGCAAGCAATGAGATGGTGAATTGTACTCTTAGCCAATGATGTGGTATCACATAGATAAAGACTAGACCACTTTTTATTTTAATGACAGGATTGAGGGAAGGAGGAAGGTATGTGTGTGTGTGTGTGTGTATTGTACATATGTATAAGCAGATATTTTGACACAAAAAAACTCAGAACTTCTACTCTTAATATTTGATCCAATCTCTGAGCTTGTGGAAAAGGTAATTAAGGCAAAAAAATGCCATTAGCTTGGTTGCTAGGCAGCCTGCACTCTGCTTTATACAAGGAAATGGAGCTAAAACAAAGACTCCAAAAGCTCATAAAAAAAAGCTTGTTTGGATGCACTTCCGCCCCCACTTTGCAGGTGCCTAGGCTATACCTTCATAACCAAAGAATGATAAAGAGTGAGGAAATTGTCTTCACGTTTGTGATAAACAACCCCTCCCACCCCCCCACACACAAATTCCTAAATTACCTTGCTGAAAGGTAATTTTGAAGGCAGCTGGTATAGCAAAAGAAGCATATGGTAAGGAGTTAGACAAACTTAGGTAAATCCCAGCTCTCATTCGTACTAGCTATGTGTCCTTGGGAAAGTTACTTAGACTTTTTTTGAGTTTCAGTTTATCATCTGTAAAATGGGTTAGTGATCTACATCTTCTTGGATTATTGTGAAGATTAAACAAAATAACATGTGTACATTGACTAGCAGAGTGACTGGCTTACAACTACCTTCCTTTCCACTTTTTGCATTTTGAGGCCAGGATGACTATTGGTTGATGGTGACCTGGCATTAAATTACAATCTGACTTCAGCTTCCTACTCTCATATTTTCTGATTACTGGTAGGGTCTCTCAGAAGTTCCAGTTTTTCAAAATTATTTTGCTTGTAGAATCCTGAATAGTATTTACTTACATCAAATTATGTAATTCAATGTTTGCTTATCACTGGGCTCCTGTTTTATCCCCCCTATTCAGTCAACAGATTAGCAACTATTTATTAAGCACCTGCCATGTCCATGCACTATGTTGAACTCCAGATGGAACAGTGAACAAGACAGGATTTTTGTCAGTGGTGTGTTGAAGCCAGTTCACAAAAGCCAATTGTGTGCATCTTTTCCCAACTTGGTGTCAGTGGCATCATGCTGGTAGCTTGAAATCAGGCATTGGGAGCATTTATACTACAGAAATTGGTAAATGCTGCAAATAAGAGCTTTTTCTCCTCCTCATACAGCTGTTAAACATTTACTAGAACATCACTTGTGCCTGCTGTTATGGGTCTTAAATTCTAGTGAGAGATACAGGTAGTAAATGATTAAACAAATGTGTAAAAAGATGGCTGTATTTTCCCCGTGCCCAATAACTTCCAGCGGAATTGAAATTTCTATATATAGGCTATATTGCCTATAGTAGTGGTTTGCAACCTCTTTTCATTTATATCCTTGCTGCTTTAAAAAGTAAAACAAACAAAAACTATCAAAGTGATACATGTACATAATTTTCAAAGTCAAGAAATGCTAAAAGGTTTGTATCAACAACAAAGCAGCGTCCCTAGGCCTTCCTCCCACACTTCATCAGAAACAACCAATTTCATGTCTTTAAGCTCTTTATTCTGGTATTTAACTCTATGTTTCTAAATACCATACTGCTACTGGTCTGTTGATTAATCAATTTTGGGTATTTTTCATTGACTTCTTATTATAATTGAGGATTGTTAGCATTTATATACTTCCTTACCTTTCTTCAAACCCTCAATATAGGTATGTCACAATCTTTAAATTTATATTTAGTATTTCTAATATTATACCTATATAAATATCATTCATAGCTGATCCATGTGGTATATTATGGTAAGAATTCATTTCACAAATAACTTTTTTTTTAAAGAACTTTATTGGGGAATTGGGGGATGGGAACAGCACTGGGGAATTGGTGGAAGGGGAACAGACAAGTTGCTGTCATTTTGTTCTTCAGTCTAGTTGTGGAGGACGTTGCTTCCCTGGCCCAAGTTGGCACCATCATTGCGCTCTTCCTGGGAGAGGCAGATCAGTCACCGGCTTCTGGACGGCCGCTCACTGCGGCTGCTGGCTACACACAGTAGCCCATGGCAACCCACTGCCACAGGGGCTGCAGCCCTCGCTGGTGACTCATGGCAGCCCAGCTCCAGGACGAGGTGTTGTTCAGCATCTTAGCTGTGGAGGGCAGTGTCACTGGCCCTCATTCACATATAACTTTTGATTTTTACTGGAGTTCATAGTTGCTGTTTGTTTTTAAATTTGTTTTTCTAAATTTGAATTAATTTGAATGTCTAAATTTGTTTACCTTTCCAAACTGTCTGATAAAGCTATAGATTCCTCTCAAAACAATTTTATACTTGGTAAAACCTGTTAAATCCCTTATCAATTTCATTTGTTTTTCCTGAGGCTCTCTGTCCTGCTATTCCAATCTAAACTTATTGCTTCCTAAGTCTGCTGCACAGCTATCATGCTAGGATCTTCTTTTTCATCACCCTGGAAATTCCCTTTCTCTTTCTGCCATGCCGATCCACTATTTCATAAATCTTGTGACTCCAATTTTCTTAGTTTATTCACTCATTTTGATGGAAAGCATCCTCTAGTAGCTTCAGAGAGACGTATACAGGAGGTAAATTTTTGAGATTTTTGCATATGTGAAAGTCATTGTACTATCTTCACTATTGATTGATAGTTTGACTGAATATATAAATCTATGTTAAAAATAATTTTCCCTCAGCACTTTGAAGACATGGCATATTGTCTTCTAATTTCCACTATCAGCGATGAGAACTCCAATGTCGTTCTCATTCCTCATCCTTTGATACAACCTGTTTGCACTCCTCCCTATCTACCCCCAAAAGTTTTAAGATCATCTATTTGTTCCTGATGTTATGAATTTTCATGATGATGTCTGACATGCATTATGCTGTATATTTGGTAGGGCCTTTCAATCTAGAAGCTCATTCTGCACAGAGAATTTTCTTATGTTATTTATTTG